CAGTGAGCCCTTGGGTTGCGGGGTCAATCGCAGCCCAAACCCCGGGTCGGCAGGTGCGGCGCTCGCGTTGCATCGGCCTCCTGGGTGGGGAAAGCGCGTGCTCGCGTCCCGCTCGCAAAAAGGAATCGGGTTCCACCCGTGCCCGGGCTGCGAGCGGCGACGAGAGAGATGGCGGGCTCTCGCGTTCCTCCTAGGAGGAGGCGAGCGTCCAGAGCACGCTCGAGGGCACGGAAGGATGACGACCGGCGTTCAGCCGGCTGCCGGATCTCCGTGCCCGTGGCCTTGTCGGAGGATCCGTCGGAACAATGCAGGAACCCCACCTCAGGCCGTGCCCCGCGAGCGCGTCGGTCGTTTTGGCGAGCGATCGGCGAGCTGGCGTGGTGCGGTGGCTCGAAAAAAGTCCGAGCACCGATGGATCCGTTGTGGTGCTGAACGGAAAGCGCACCCCGACAGGCATGGGGCACCGCCCTGGTTGATCCCAGACCTCGGCAAACGCCCCTAAGAACGAGTGACGAAACGACCGCCCTCGGGTCCTCCGGGTTGCTCGCAACTCGGGGGGACCGGGCGAACCTCCTCTCGCAGGAGGTCAGGTTGCCGTCCCCTCTCACGCAGCGAGCTTATTAGGGCCGCCACCCGAAAGGCTAGCCGCGATCGGGAGCGAGGCAAGACGCGGACACGGTCGGCCTGGGCGGAGGGGTGGCACCCGAAGCTCTTTCCTTCCAGTTCGTGACGAGCCTCGACACCAGGGAATGCAGCAACCCGGCGGCACCGGGCGTCCATGCGGACAAAAAAAAAAACTCCCCAGCCCTGATGGAAACAGCTCGGGCCTACCAAGCGCAAGCGAGGGAAGCCCGGGGCCTGACCTCGAGTATCCTCTGAACACCTTTCCTTCCGACGCTCCTCCTCCCAATCCAGCGTCCCCCGCCACCGGTGCTCGGTCTCTCTTGGCATCGGCGGTGTGACTGCGGGGTCTTGCTCGCCCGGCCTTCTGAATTCCTCTAGGAAGGCTCGGGAAGGGGCGCCCGCGGTGATGGCAAAGGGACCCTTTTGCTACCCCCAACCGTCCCGCTCGCAGTGCATCAAGGAGCTGCGGGCAGAGGCGGAATACAAACCTCTCCGCAACCGGAACTGGCCGTCCGGTCGCAAAAAACCCTCCCTTGAGCGGGGCGCCCACGGGCCCCGGCACCTAATAAAAACTGGGACCCCACTCCTGACGATGGATATCTTGGAACCTGGCTCGATGAAGAACGCAGCGAAATGCGATACGTAATGCGAATTGCAAAACTCCGTGAATCATCGAAACTTTGAACGCATGTTGCGCCCGAGGCCTCGGCCGAGGGCACGTCTGCTTGAACGCCACACACATCCAGGTGGAACCTCGCATCCGAACCCACCCCTCCGCACGCAGCTAAGTGCGGCAGGGGAAACGGGACGGGAAAGCAATGCGGGGCAGACAAGGGGCGCTCGGGTTGGTGTGGGCTCCGGCCCCCCCCTTTCTCCGAGACAATCGCTCGTACCTGGGAAAACGAGATGGCCGTCGCAACCCGTGCGCTCCGGGGCACAAATGGGGGGCAGTCGGTTGAAATCGCAGGGCCGCATTAGCCCGTCTCCGCTCCTCTCGACCCCAGTGCAGATCCCCGGGCGCCACCCGGGAGGACGCGAGTGGGACGAGCGAGATGAGGCGGGCGGCGACCCCGCTGGGCTCGGCGAACCCAGCCGGCCAACGGACTCCGTCCGGACCTCCCAGCAGGTGGGGGGGCCGGTCACTCGGTCCCTCTTTTCTCTCCCGAGACGGTCGCGAAAAGGTTCGGGAGCCGGGGGCGTGGCAACCCCCGGTCTCCCCCTCCAAAGTAGCGCACAAGAACGGGCGAGAGGCGGACGGGGCTCGTACAAAAATGGTCGGACGGGGAGGAACCGGGCAAACCCCAAACGATGGCTTCAAGTCAGGCGAGACCACCCGCTGAATTTAAGCATATTACTAAGCGGAGGAAAAGAAAACAACCGTGATTCCTTTGGTAGCGGCGAGCGACCAAGGAAAAGCCCAGGCTTGAAATCCGAGGGCCCCCGGCCCTCCGAATTGTAGTCTGAAAAGGAAGCGTTCTCTGTGACGGGCGCCGCCTTAAGTCCACTGGAAAGTGGCGGCAGAGAGGGTGACACCCCCGTCGGGCGACGACCCGTCACTCCACGAGACGCATCCGAAGAGTCGGGTTGCTTGGGAGTGCAGCCCCAACATGGGTGGTAAGCTCCATCCAAGGCTAAATACGGCCAGGTTTCCGATAGCGAACAAGTACCGCGAGGGAAAGATGAAAAGAACTTTGGAAAGAGAGTAAAAAGTGCTTGAAATCGTCAGGAGGATAAGCGCATGAGCCCAAGCAAACCTGCGGGCCCCGTTCGCGCGGGGCCCGGAGGTACGCAGCGCCGGTCGATGCCGCGGGAAAAGGAGCTCGCTCCCACCGCGGCGGAGACCGAGGATGACCCTCACGGGTCGGCGCTGGCGAAA